TCCTAATATCAAGCATTCCCCTTATTATACTGTCTAGAATTATGCAAATTAGATCACATAACCCACATTTTCAAATTTCCCCCAATGAATGAATTTAAGATGACCTGTGTTTCTTGCAGAGGAGCAGACCTGGAGGTCAGAGCCCTGCTCCCACTCAATTATTTATTTACTAAAAATAATCAAATTTTATACTTAAAATCTGTTTTAAAAACTGTTTCTGTAGGAAAACAATGCCTCTATGGTCTCTAATCTATTTTTCTTTATGTTGATGATCAGATTGGCTATTATAAATATCACTTTAATGCTCGGACCCCAGAAAAGACATTTACTGACATAGAGATTAACTACTGGGCCAGCACAGCTGCCATCAGGATGGAGTACTACACAGTTTTTCTATTTCTTAAAATATCCATCATGGTCTGCATCATATCACCAGGGCATGGGTTGGAGTTTTAGCTGCTGCCTACTTCTCTTAGAGTTTGACTCTCTTAGAGTCAAATACTGTGTTCCTATCATGTGGATGGTAAAACTTGTAAACTTATGGACCTACGCAGAACAGATGAAAATGAAGCCCATTTTCCTTGATTCATCTACTGTTTTGACACATTTACCACATGTCAACCTCCTTTGTGCTCAGCGCTGGGGATAAAAAGGTAATTGGGACAGTCCTTGCCTTTGGAGAGGTTTTTCATTTCATTTAAGAAATTAAACTGGCACATTTGTAGAAGAGGTTTTAGATTTTGATGTGCTAAAATTTACATTTTAAAGCAAATGCAAAAAAAAATCAGAATTTATTTTCTGTTATTTAAAAAATCCCCAATCCTGAACTTATTTAGAAAAACTGAGATTATGTACTGTGTATTGTTAGAGTCCAGAAGGACAATGGGGGGTGGGGGGGATCAGACAAACTGTCCAAGGAGGGAAGAAGTTCCCTGCATAGTTACACCTTCCCTGATGGCTCAATTCTTCCCTCTGTGCGTTTCTTTCTCTATGTCATTTCCATCCTCTAATGGTAGAATCGGTGCCTGTGACTGTTGGCCGATATGGCCCAGTGTCCCACGAAGAACAGCGTAGGGAATTAACACCATGATCTAAGTAATTGATGGAACTCAAGTCAGTAATAACAAAATGAGGGCAAAACAGGTTTCTACAAGTTCAACTCAATTTACAGAATTCTTATTGAGGATTAATCTACTATACTTCAGAACAGGGGTTCTGTTCTGAGGAACAGGAGGTGAAAAGAACGAAGTTTTTTACCTCCAGGACCTTCTAGGTAATTATCCAGCTTTTCTCTTCACCTGTCCTGTGTGGACATGGCTTTAAAAATAACTGCTATTTTACATGTGTTTGGAGGGAAGAAGGGAATGTCATTATGGAGACTGGATCTTATTCATGTATATCTAGAGTGCTTGGTAAAGGAAGGAGGTCAGGAAATATTCAGTGAATAAGTGAGTGAATGAATGAATAAGCTTGAAGGTAAAAATAGGTTCCCCCGAATTCTAGCATATTTATACTTCTTCATAGTCCAGTATTTTGTTTTCTCATTTTACCCCCAAATCAAGCCAGAGTAAGGTGAAAGAGGTAATGATCCCAATGTTATTTGAGATAGACCTTCGGAGACCCAAGACCACATATTTAGTAAGTTACAGAGTGAGTGACAAACCTATGTGGACTTTAAAGTCCAAGGTTTGCATTGCTAATAAGAACAGAAAAATGGATGGGGCGCCTGGGTGGCGCAGTCGGTTAAGTGTCCGACTTCAGCCAGGTCACGATCTCGCGGTCCGGGAGTTCGAGCCCCGCGTCAGGCTCTGGGCTGATGGCTCGGAGCCTGGAGCCTGTTTCCGATTCTGTGTCTCCCTCTCTCTCTGCCCCTCCCCCGTTCATGCTCTGTCTCTCTCTGTCCCAAAAATAAATAAATGTTGAAAAAAAAAAAATTAAAAAAAAAAAAAAAAAAAAGAACAGAAAAATGGAGGAGAGGTTTGTCATACACAGGAGGCTCTAGGGCTCTGGAGAGACTTGGTAAGCCAAAGAGAAAGTCCTACCATTTCTTCCTTTGCAGTGGGAAAGCAAGTAAGAAAATTCAGCACACTAGTGGCAGCTGGAAAGCTGGCAGGTCCCTCCAGAGAAGGACTGTAAGCAATGTCATGGGCCAAAAAGATGGATGGGGCCCATTTATGCACCAGGCTGACGCATAAATGGAATCCTTCCCAGTTTGACTGCCCTTTTTGCAAAGATGTCATTGACAGATGAGTATCTAAATGTTTTGTTTAAAAAAGAAAACAAGACAAAAGAAAGAAAGAAAGAGAATAAAGCAAAAACAAAACAAAACAAGAAACTCTTTCTGTCCCAAACAGACACTGAGAGCCAGTGAACACGAGAACACCCGAACAGGCTTGAGAGCTGGCCTTTCAAAGGTATCCTTGATAATGATTTGCAAAGTTGTACACCTTTCCTTCCATATACTTTTCAATTGAACACAAGGATTTCATCGAGACCCCAAATTACTGCCAGTTGGCCGTATTCCATCTGCAGTTGGAGGCACACTGGTGGGGAAGCAGGCCTGCTCACATATTCATCCTCACTTGCCAAAACAAGGCTTCTTCCCCAATTAAAATGACCTTTTTTGCTTTAGAGTAGTAAACAATGTCTACTTAATTTGAGGAAAACACACAGAAGAAAGTTACCGAAACTAATCACACAGTGACAGGATGGGTGAGTCAGAGTCAATGCAATCTGTGGGAAGTGCTGAGGAGGCCACTCTGCTTTTGGCGACAGAAAGGTCCTCTTGAGGTCATTGCCTTCATGGTGCCTCCTCCATGGCAGCCTTCAAGATCAAACTGAGCAAATCTGTTGTATCTTACACCTACCAAACACACTTTTAAAAAAAAGGTTAATAACTACCAGTTTTAAAAGGTAAGTACTAAATACAGCTCCTTCGATAACCTTGCTTCTTCGTCTTGCTCTGTAATTATCTTGTGAAGACAGGGACCAGTTGACACACACTGAGTAGCAGTAAACAGGAGGACGTCTCTTCCACCCACTCACAGCTGGACAAACCGTGTCTTGTGAGCTGCCTGTGTTCTCTGGCCATCTGTGTAACTCAACAGTAGACCAGCATAGACAAATGAACCATTTTGGAAAACTCACGTTCTTCTCCAGACTGGATACACGGTACCCAGGCTGAGTCCACATTTCATCCATACTGAGCCAAACAGACATTTACAAAACAATAGGCATTTGGAAACATTTGAGCTTAGTTTGCAAGCTTAGACAAAAGTGGCTGGGATGGGCACCACCACCTTAGGGCTGACACAGAGCATCCTTCATGATGACTGAATGAGAAAACTAAGGAAAAGGTTTTTTATTTTTTTAATTTTTTTTTAACATTTATTCATTTTTGAGAGACAGAGAGAAACAGAGTATGAGTGGGGGAAAGGCAGAGAGAGAGGGAGACACAGAATCCGAAGCAGGCTCCAGGCTCTGAGCTGACAGCACGGAGCCCGATGCGAAGCTCAAACTCACAGACCACGGTCATGACCCGAGCCAAAGTCAGATGCTTAACCAACTGAGCCACCCAGGCACCCCATGCAAAGGTTTTAAGAAACTTCCAAACAGTTGGACAGTCGCTTTGGTCAGGCCACATCTTTGACAGCTGCTGCACGTGGCCCTGTTCCAGGGAGATAACATGCCTCCACAACTAGCTGGCTGGGTCACCCTAGAGGTAAGGAAGGCTAACTTCCTTTGAGCAAAAATAAACCCTGCTAAGTTACATGATCCTGTCTCCTACTTTCTTCAAGGAACATGAGATGCTAAGTGACAAAATTTAAAGACAGAAGCTGTGAATCCTCAGAGCCCTGATCTCCTGGCTGATTAGTTACAGGTCTGCCTAGTTCAAGATGATCTACTGGTCAGACACATAAGACAGTCTTCCTTGCCGTATCCAAAAAGCCAGGAATAACCAGGGAAATTGCCCCCAGGTCTTTCAATCCCTGCTAATACAATGATGACACATAGACTAAGTCAGAAATAAAGTGGGGAAAGAAGCCTGGTGTTTTCCAGCCAGAGACAACCACACTCAAAAAAACTATCTGCTCCATTTGCAATCCTTCCCACAAATATTCACGGTGTGCAGACACAGCAGTTGGATGTTCAAAGTCCCCCTACAGTACAACTTACTGAGAGAGGTTGTCTGGAAGCAGAACAACTCCCTTTGGTAAACCTAGCCAATATCAGGATGGAATTTGGAGGGTCTCATCCACCCTCCGCCAATGGATACGATGATGTCAGAAATAAACCACATGCCAGACAAGCCTGTAGACTCCATTTTTGTCAGCAGCTGTCCCCAAAGGAGCACCTGTGGCAGTTTCCAGCCCTTTAGGCCAAACACCACCAATGAAAGCCCATCGCCGGCCACAGATGTCTACTGACATTCTTGAGAGTGAGAGAGATGGCAAAAGCCAGAGCCAGGGTTTCTTTGACAATTTTAGACCCTCCATCATGAAATGGTTTGGCGTTCGCCTGGTCCCAAACCCGGCACCTACAGATACATCTAACTTCAATTCCTCAGCAGGATGAGAGAGGTAAAAATCTCAGGCTCTCCAGAGAAGGCACATTTCGGCTCATGTGTGCCTAAAACAAACCCACAATTGCCTAGTATGCCCACTGTTATCCTAATGATGTAGCAGTGGGAGATATGGAGCTTACTTTAAATGAGCACACTGCCAACTTTCAAGAAATCCTCCTCTGCATGCACCAACAATTTCTTACTGGTTTGAGAATAAGAGTACTGGGAAAGATTTTTGTTGTCACAACAAACACAACCAGTCAGAATCCTGAATTGGTGAAGATAACACCAAGCTAAGGAAGAAGTACGTGTTAGCTTTTGGTTCCTTTCAAAACTTATTTTGTGAAGAATAAACATGCTGCATAGAAGCAGTTCATTGGCCAGATAAATGGATGCCATGCTTATTTCTATTAATTGACTGAAATCCATCCTTTACCTGCTACCACAGGAGATTTCCGTTCATCGAGGAGCTGGATGGAGGTACTCGCTGTCACCACATTGCTTTTGTTGACTATTCCTGAAAGAAGAAAAACCATCACAACAAAAATGGAGATGGTTGTGTGCCCAGGTTAAGAGAGTAATCATATGGCCCATGGCCACCAATTCTGCAGATTGTGTTAGTGCATGGTTCCCAGACTCAGAGTTGGCCAACTCTGTTAGGCCACAGGTGCTGTGTAGACAGTCCTGTCAGCTGAAGGAATCAGTGCACTGAGTTATGACTGCCACACTGGGGGCGGGAGGGTGTCCAGCCTCTTCACATCAAAATTATTAAGCACCACTGGAGGGACCACATTTCTCTTGTGATTTGTGGTTACTAATTACAGTGTTTACTTGTGTTAGTGATCATATTTACACTGCCTCTCTAAATACGGCTGTGGAGAGCTACAGGAGATAAAGTTTTGAAACTGTTTTACAAGTTGGGAACTTTAGTTTTGGTTTGTTCGTTACAACTTTACTGATTTATAAAATTCTAATTTCAAGACCAGTTTTTCTTAGCAAAACCATTCCAATCAGGGATAGACTTGGAATTCAATCCTTACTCCAAACTCTTATTAATGTGGTAACAATAGGGCATTAGTATGAAGACATTTGCAATTACTAACAATGGCTCCAATATCCATAAATTAAAAGACCCTGAGCACAGGTTTCAACCCCCCCCCCCACCCGCCTTGGTTGATAATTGTTAGCACAATGCTTGCCTTATAAAAGGTGTTCCATGAATGGAATCCAATATGAACTGGGAAATGGAGAGGGCAGACCTGAATTTGAATACGCTTATGACTGAAGCAACTGAGAACCTTCTCCTGGCTCAAGCCTAAGCAGTAATAAAAACCAGCTTGTTTTTCAATGTGTGCAGGTAATCAACACATGGTAGAAACAATAAGACAGCTTCATCATAACACTTGTACTTGGTGATGTTACATTCTCCGAACCAAAAGGAAGAATGAAATCTCCTAAGATGTGAAGTCATCCTTAACTTTATCACGAACAAGGTAAATTCCTTTGACAACCCCACTTGCCAAAAACCAATTCTACAACAGCCTCAATTAGCCAGAATTTGTTTTTCCCAGACATAAGTCTCTGTAGGGAAAATGGTGAAGAGTAAAAGAAGAAACCCATACAAGGGGCCATCATTCATAAGCACACACACACAGAACACTTCAGGGATTGCTCTTTTTTCTGACTGCTCCTTTTCTTTGTCCAGTTTTGAGCAAAATCCACCCTGCCGGAAAAGAAGAACTTCATGCTTGCTTCTAGTCCAAATCTAGCAAGCTAAGTTCTTTTTTTTCTTTTTTTTCTTAGAATCCCAAGGCAAAGAAAGGAGCATGAGATTGCATGATAAGAGAAGACGTTGACAGGTTTGCAGCAGAATGAGAAAGTTCACTGTTCTCTCGGTTGGTATTTTCAGCAATAAAGTGTCATCCAAACAAACATAAAGAAAGAGTCTTAGTCACCCAGGCATTTGTATCTGAGAACACACGTGTGTGTGGCCATGGGTACAAAGGAGTACAGACTCCAAGAATTTCAGTTTTTCCTGGAAGGAAACTAATTGATAATCTCCTCTAAAATTCTACCTGCTCAGGGAATTTCTACAGTAACATTTGGCCTTTCCTTGAATATCTTCATGAATGAGAGACTCTCTTCCTAATGAGTCCATGCAACTAGTTATTAGATAACTCTTGCCAACGTGTCTTCTGCAAATTTTGAAAGCACTCTTTCTGAAGACGTTTTCATTCATGGAAATGAGCAAGTGCTAAGAACCAAGGAAGGGGCTTTGACACTAAGCACCAGAAAACCGCCACTAGGGCTGATTTTGGAATGCTTGAAAAAGACTAATACGGTGGCTCTAATATAAAACATAAGTATAGACTGAACTGTCTAAAGCAATCCAAGTTTATAGAACTAGGTCTTATTCATCTCTGAAGTTGCTACAAGGCACAGTCAGAGCCTTCCACAAAATGAGCACCAAAAACTATCAGCTGCATGAGACAAGAAAAAGCCAAGGACAATCGAAAAGTATGTTCAGTGTGTTTTGCTTCTAAACATGGTTGAAATAAGATGGTGTTCAGTTCTTTTTTGGAGGGAGGCAACCTTAGTTTTTTTATAATATAAAATCTTAGGACTAGAAAAATCACAGGTTATGCGCTTTTCCTGGGTCACTGCAGCCCTCTGTCAGGAGATCACAAGTCTACACAAAAATCTCAGCGCTCACTCCTGCATGTTGATTTGAATCAATTTAGTTTCTGATGGGGGGACTGTGGGCCTCCAAAGTGATGTGATTCACTGAAAGTTCTGGCAAAGGATGGTATGTCTGCATGAATTTTCTCCAAGTGGGGCCATGATAACGTTAAAAAAAAAATCTACTGAGATGTTTGTATTCAAATTCCACACAGTAAAAAGTACCAGTCCTGCTTTGTGAAATGCTCTTTTCACACTTCAGTTAAGCAAAAGCTTAATTTTACTTGGGGCCATTGTATTTATGAAACAGGTCAATGGTTCAGTGCTGGGCCAATATTCAGCATTGGTCCTCAAGACAGAACTTGGCTCCCTCCAGCATTCAGATGGCCCCCACTACACTCTGCATGCAATGCCCGGGCCAGCAGGACCAGACAGACAGAGTCCCAACTCTAACAAGGACCCCCACCTGTGCTGAACGGGATGGAGTAGACGAAGCTCCCTGGAATCTGCTCCGCAGCTCTTCGGTACCAGAGAGGGAAATGGTCTGCGTTAAAAATGTTCTCCTTGTCTCCAGCTTTCAGGAAATCCCTGGAAATGGAAAGGAATAAGAACATGTCAAAAAACCACAAATAATCCAATTAAAAAGTGAGCAACATACCTTTTCATTTTTCCAAAGAAGATATACAAATGGCCAACAGGAACATGAAAAGATGCTCAGCATCACTCGTCATTAGGGAAATGCAAATCAAAACCAAAATGAGATATCACCTCACACATGTTAGGGTGGCTATCACCAAGAAGACAAGAGATAACAAATGTTGGTGAGGGTATGGAAAAAAGAGAACGCTGGTGCACTTCGTAAATTGGTACAGCCAGCCACCATGGAAAACAATATGGCGGTTCCTCAAAAAATTAAAAATAAGACTACCATCTGATCCAGCAATTCTACTGGGAATATATACAATGGAAACAAAAACCCTAACTCAAAAAGATATTTTCCATTCACTGCAGCATTATTTACAACAGCTGAGATATGGAAACAACCTGAGTGTCTATCAAAGGATGAATGGATAAAGAAGTGGTGGCATATATACCACACATTCCACACAATGGAATATTATTCAGCCACAAAAATGAGAAAATCCTACCATTGGCCACAACATGGATGGAACTTGAAAGCATTAAGCTAAGGGAAATAAGTCAGACAGAAAAAGACAAACACTGTAGGATCTCACATGTGGAAGCTAAAAACAAAGAAACAAAGACAAACAAGCTAAAACCAAAAAACCACCAAACTCAAAAAAAGAGATCAGATTTGTGGTTACAAGGGGCAGGGGTTGGGGGATGGGGAATGACAAGAAGGTTATAAGACAACCTGGGGACTACAGCTAACACTGCCGTGTGACCTACAATCAAGCTGTGAAGAGAAGATTTCCTAAGGGTTCTCATCACCAGGAGAATTTTTATTCTTTTCTTTTTATTGTATCTATATGAGATGAGAGATGTGAAGTAAACCTACTGCAGTAATCATTTCACAATATATGTAAACCAAATCATCATGCTGTACGTCTGAAACATATACAATTATCCGCCAATTATTTCTCAATAAAACTCGAAAGGAAGGAGAAAGAGGGGGACGGGGAGGAGGAGGGAGGAGGTGGGGGAGGAGAAGGATCATGGCACCACTCAGCAAGGAAAAGCCGGATGTGGGTATGTCCCAACCACCTTTGTCAGGTGAAGACAGTGTTGGCTTTCTCAGTGCAGAGAGAATCTGTGTAGCGTCATGCACCCCAGATGGCTCAGAATTACCCTGTAGAACTCCAGCAGACTGTCCGTGGGTGAAATAATTTTTCCTAGTATATCCAGTGAACGAATCATCTTAGCATCTAACGCAAGCAAGCAAAACCTCCAGAAATCGTATCACAAGACCAAAGAAAGGGTAGTCGGAAAGCTGTCTTGCCTTACAATCCATACATGATCACATATCCTTGGAAAGATCAAATTAAGTAGATTTCACTCTTCTGAGAAAAAGTATAACAGAGGTAGCAGTGGGCCCTGTGGATATCCTTGCCCCCTCCCTCCCTCCACCACCTGCTCTCCAGCCAACAGGACTGCTCCAGCTGTCTGTACATCCCTTACTTTGCCCAGCCTCCTGCGCCCACTGCCCACAGTGCTTCTCTCTCTCCTGAGGCCTACCTGCACTCTCTTCCCCGTTTCTTCCTTTCAAAATCATATTCCCTTCACAGTGTGCCTCAAATCCCACCCACCACGCAAATCCACAGAGACATTAGCAAGTTCCTGCCCCACAGCCTTGGTCTCTCACATGGCCTTCTCCTTCCTTGGTCTTATCTGCTCTGTCATGTCCCCATCCCAAACCTCCTGAAGTCTCTGAAGAAAGAAGCTTTGCTTCCCATTTTGGCTCCCTTCACAGAGACTTACACATCCCCAAGTTCCAGCGAATGTTTGTTTGCTTCACTTATCTCCAAAGACTCATGTTTACTCTCCCAAGTGCCTCATCTTGGCTGAGACAGTATAACTCGGGGGGAGGAAATGACTGCCTGGCTAGTCCACAGTCTTCAGAGATCTTGCAGGAAGGGAGAGCAATCAAGGGATGGAAAGGACAGCAATCAGGGGACAATGTGTATGCAGGGAAAAGGCCACTGATTGAACCAGAAATAGCACCATGTTCTATCCATCAGTTTGCAGTGTGAAGTTGGATCACACAGACCATGGAGAGAAATACTCAAATATTCTCCATTGTTATAGCAGGGTTGAATTTATATGCTAAGTTGTAACAAGTTGGGTTATTAGAAACTACTTGAATTGTCTTCTAACTCAGGAAAGCATTCTGTAGTTTTAGGGTATGGCCAGGCACTGATATCTTGATCTCTTTCTAAGATGCAAAGCTCCCTCCTAGAGGAAGCCCGTGCCATTGGAGGCCACCCTTGAAGTTCTCAGCATAGAAATACACCTCCTTCTAACTTACACTAGTATGTTCTAATTCCTCTCTAAGGGCAGAGACATTATTTTTCTTGACATTTCCAGGGCCTGGCACTCATCAGGCACTCAGCGTGTGCTTAATGATCACATGATAAATCAAATCTCATATTCAGATAAGAGCTCCTCAAGTATTAAAAGCAATTTGCTAAAACTTTTCTAAACAGTATTTCTCAATTCTTTCAAATTGCCACATCAGTATGGCCACGTTCCTATGTAAAGGCTCTCTGCTGTCATTCAAAAGGCCAACTGATGATGCATGGACCTCTGAGTTATTCAGTGCTGGGTGTAGGGAGTTCCAGGCTTGAGGTCACAGACAAGCTCCTCCTGGCACCGATATATTCAGTGGTAATGTTTCCTGATCCTAAAATCAATAGGACTCACAAACATTGAAATGTGACCTTTTGCTTTTTTTTTTTCCCCATCAGACACGAGATTTTTCATAAACCTGACTGCGATAGGTGTGTGAAGGAGACTCTGCTATCTAGTCCTCGGTGGGATGAATAGCTGTATTCCACACTGGGCCATGGCACAACCAAGCATTTTCACTTGTGGCAGTCCTATTTGGTGGTGGGATGCATATAACTACGGGGAGGAAGGTGCCCTTCTCATGCAGCAGTTAATGGTACCAGGGGCCCCTTTCCAGTCCTGGAAGGTGAGGCTAATAGCTTGGTTAGGAGGCGTGAGGTGGTTTTCACTTAGACTGATGGAGACATTTGAGGAAGGCAGGAGACAGGCTTGGAACACGGCATTACTGAGTACCCAGTGGCTGCTGCCCAGGACCAGACCACGCTGGTACCAGGGCAGCGAGCAGGAGCCTGCAGGGCATGATCTCCATTGGCTTTGGTGTTCACATGAGAGGGTCTGGTTGCCAGGAAACCCTGTAGGTCCCTGATAACTACCAAGTAGTGATTCAGAAGGAAGTAGAAGGAGAGAGTTGGTTCCACAGAATCTCCGAAAATGTTCTTCAGGAAGATTGATCTTTCTAGGGAAGATGAAAGCCTACCTGTAGATACTAGGGGCTGTTGTGGTGTTGTGTGAGACCAGTTTAGGTTTTAGGCGCAGACGAATGACCTTGGGTGAATTACTTGGGTCAATCACTGAATCTCTGAGCCCCATTTACTCATCTATAAACTTATACTCACCGCGATTCTATCAGAGTTATGTATACAGTATGTAAACTGAAAATGGCTCCATCAAGTATATGGGATTTTTAAATCTCGGGAGCTTCTTTTGTTCTCTGTGGGTCACATGGAAGCTGTGAGGCAGTCATCGCTTAGACTGCCTTTGTGTGCTACGGGTGTTCCAAGAGGCCACACGGAATGCACAAGATTCACTGCTGACATTGACGGGTGTAGAGGCAGGGACAGAGTCCTCGGACTAGAATCCACGTGCTTCCAAAGCAGATGGTGGTGACAGGAGGTGGCACCTCAGTGTAGCAGGCTGATGCTAGTACCAGTTAGTTCTGCAGCAGGGACTTTATATTCTCTAGCACTCTCCCCACAGCTTGACACTTTTCTCTGTATGCCTTATTTAAAAACAGAAATTCGAAAAGCTTTCTAGCCCTATCCAAGAGTATATCTGGACAGTTGGACCTTAACAAATGCCGTCTTCTTGGACAGGGTAGGCAGGTACAAGACCCTAAGACAATGGAACTTTTGGAGTGCCTAGGTGGCTTTATCAGTTAAGTGTCTGACTTTGGCTTAGGTCATGATCTCACAGGTTCATCAGACTCTCTGCTGTCAGCACAGAGGCTGCTTTGGATCCTCTGTCTCCCTCCCTCTCTCTCTCTCTCTCTCTCTCCCTGCCCATCCCCCACACGCTCTCTCTCTCAAAAATAAATTTAAAACATTAAAAAAAATAGAACTCAAGGTTCTGAGTTCTATATGAGTCAATGGGATGAGTTTCTTGAAAACCGAAGAATCATCCAGATAGCCAGTGTCTACTCACTCTGGGTCACAGTAGTGTCACAGGGAGCAGAGCTAACCCTTACTTGCAGATATTTTTAGTTTCTTAAACTGGTTTTACATCCACAGTTTTTTTGATCCTCACAAGAACCCAGGGAGATCATCACTGCCACTTTCCAGGGGCACAGAGCAAAGGCAACCAGTGGGATGGGCCAGATGCTCATCGCAGCCATCCTGAGCATGACCTACAGGACAGACTAGCAAGGTGCATTGTCTTGTTGTTGTGATTGCTCTTCTGGTTTGTCCGTTTTATCTCAATACAAACAACAGCCTTCCTCTTGAGCAGGAGAAAGTCAGTGCCTACATCTCCTTCTGCCTCTCTCTAGGTTCCAGAAGGAGAAGGTGATGTGTATCTTGTAATTTCTAGTCCTTCTAGGAACTTGCCCTCCGGAAAGACAATTGAGCAGGGCTAAAGGGCTGAAGAGGGCTTGGAACAATCAAGTCACAACTGTAGTCAACTTCCTAAAAGACAAATTTGAGATGCTGAGAGAGTCCTCAAATGGGCCGTAAAAGCCAGTTCATGAACCATCTAAAAATCTATTGATTTCCCACTTACCAGACTTGGTGTTATAAGATCATACGGTTGGGTCAGGGCCTCACCTAAGAGGCAAGAACGCTGCTGACCGGGGCTTGCTGGGACAGGAGTGTCCCCCCCTCGGGTCTCTGTGGGGCCGTCCCCTTTCAGATTGGTGGCCAGCCTGTGGCCTTGTCATTCACCGCCAGGTATCCATACATCAGGGTGTCTGAGGGCCCACAGTAACGTCTGAACCCTCCTCACACGCACTTGGCAAACTGTCTGAATCTCGGACTCCATTTGTCCCTCACCTACTAATGCCTCTTACTTGAGAGAAAAAAACAAGCAAGCAAACAAACAAACTGAGAAACAGTAATCAGGCCAGAAAGGACTTCCCAGGCCCACACTAGCTCTGGTCCAACACTAGTTTGAAGAGTTAAGACCCTGTTGCTCTCTGAAGATACAAAGGCTGCGCAGTGATTTCAAGGACATCTGGGTACTGGACGCTCTCCCCATTGTCCATCTGGGTCTGTTTGGCAACACAAGGAAACACTGTCCAACCCGTGTCCCACTGGACTGCCCACTCCTGGGTGTGGGGCTCTGCAGGCCCTCAGGCACAGTGCAGAGGCACCGAGGTTTATTAAAGCGCACACAAACAAATAAACAACAGACTTGAAACCCTGATTCTTGGACAGGCAGGAATCCCTCCGCAGAGCTGCGGAGCAGCTGAATGCCCTGGAGCCATCCATCAGGAGTCCTCCTTCTGGCCGCTCCCCCAGCAACCCCTGGGTCGCCAGATTCTGCGGTGACTCACCAGCGCGGGAGAGGACTCCAGGACAGTGGGCGAAAGCCAGCAAGCATGAAGAAGAAAGGGTTGCGGAAAGGCCAACAGGCAGGCGAGCACACACGCCGGGGCCTCCGCGGTAGAACAGAGAGGAACCATGTCAGCAGGCCTGGGGTGGCCTGAATTTTGTTTCTACTGCTGGTAGAACCGAGAAGCTTAAGCATCCCTTGAATTTCCCATTTCAGGAGCTCCCTGGGCCCCTGCAGGGGAGCCTTCCTACTTACTGATTGGTGAGCTGCTCAGCCCCAACAAACAGGTTGATCCTCGAGAGGCCCGTACGAGTGCCGAGGAAGGCAACCTCCACGCCCTTGTCAGAGTTCCTGAAACACAGCAGCAGACAACAGGGGGTTGCGTCCAGACAGTAACGGGAGAATGGCTTTTGCATTTTAAGACTCATGGACTGCTTTTTGAAAAAGCAGTTTTGAAACCTGAAATTTTAAAAGAAATTATAGAAACACACACACACGTATGCACACCCGCACCAAGCATGGAATGCAAACTCACCCCTTTCAAAAGCATTTTTGGTAATTCTCGCAAGAAAAACTAAGAACTCCATTGAGTTCTGAGAACTCCAAAGCACCATGAACAAATGCACCCCCACACTAAATAGGTACATCTTTATCTCAGGGTTCTGAGTGTAAAGTCAGAAGAGCAGACCGGAATGGGAACGGCTTTATGGAGAGGAAGAAAATCATCACAGGGAACTTTGCATTGATCTACCAAGTCCATTCTTGGTCCTGAAACCATTAGTGGAATCTGCCATCAGTGAAAGTACCAGCTGGGCCACTGGGTCAAGTCTGCAGCGACCTGCAGCCTGGAAATGTCTAGGACCTGAATTCTATGTTGTTTGAAGTCACTGGCTTGTAACTTCTTCCAGAGCACAGGCCTTCTTCTTACCACCATCCCCAAAGAGATGAGTAAAGAAATGGCTTCTTCAGATCCCTGCAGGATACCACACATAGGACCCCTAAGAATGGCCTTGGCAAAGGAGACTTATTTTAAAATCCACTGAAGGAATTTTTTTTCAACTTTCAAGGCAAATATTGTATACGTTTGAGCGTGCTGAGGATTTTCGCAATGCCTACCTCATCACAAAAAGCGAGTGGTCTTTCTCCACAGATACATAATTTACTTCTGTGATAAAAGTATGAAGAGAATACTGTCTCTTGAGTTTGCTTCCCTTCCCTAAATGCTAGTAGCCATTTGATGCGAAGCACTATCCATGTCATCTTCAATATAAGATAATTTGGTTACTTGATCTTTGATGGTAGTCAAAGTGGCTGGTACTACCTTTAAGTATTTAAGGGGTGAATAAAAACCAACACTATGCATTTGTTTCTGCTTGCAGCCTACCCAAATTGGAAAGCCAGGCTGCCCAATCAGTTACAGATGTGGACTACAAAGCAAAGCTACCATTTTGGAAATCTTTAGCATGTGTTAGGAGTGAACCAGCAATCTTTGCACGGGATTTTGAGTTTCATGAGAGCTTAAAAGAAACATTTCCACATCCACCAGAGAAAGCAATCGCTGGAAAGGTTTTGACTCTTTCCCAACCTCCCAGGGAATAGGAACCATGTTAGTAAGCAGTCTAAGGACACTTCCAAGTATAATGAGAATGGTGATCTCTCTTTGGGGCTCCAGACTCCTGTATTAAACTGTCTACTTGGGAGACTTAAGCTTAAAACATCTAGAAAAGCACTATGGACACGTTCAGTTCCAAACCAATTCTTCTTTCATTGTCTTCTGTCCTAGGAAATGGTACCACTATCTATACAGGCATTCGTGTTGTAAATCTGAGAATGACCCTTGAGAGCTCCGTCTCCCTCCCTTCACTCAGTGGACCATCAAATCCTCGGCGGCGGCGGTGGTGGTGGTTCTGAAGCATGCCACAAGTGGATCTTTCCTCTCTGTGCCACAGCCACTGCCTTGGTCTGAGTGGCAAATCCCTTGGAATGCTGTAGAAGCCTTTCTTATTGCTCTTATCCCATTAAACTATTCTTCACATAGCAGGAGGAGGATATTCTTTAAAAATGCAAATACGATCATGTCCTTCTTAACATCTTAAAATGTTCTTAAAATCGTTCAGTGGCTTTCCAACACTTGTAGTATAGTAGCCAAAATCCTTCACCTGACTCCCAAGGTCCTGAGCCATCTCGCCCCTCTGCACCCTCATCTGCCAACATCTTCGAGCCTACCTTCTATATTTCAGTTCCATTGGCCTTCTTTAAATTCCTCAAATGTGTCAAATACTACTGTACCTCAGGACGTTTGCACACGTTGTTCCATTTTCCTTAGAATGCTCCCTAACCCTTGAACTAGTTTCTGCTCAGAAAGGCCTTCTGTCTTTCATCTCCACTCTAGGTCTTGTCACAGTCTGCACGTCCTTACACTTCTTTCAAAGCAGTTATCAAATTCTTAATAATCTGGGATGCTACACACCACAGGTACCATGATGGCAAGGACTGTGTCTGATTGAGTTACTCCATTTCACCAACACCTAGTCCAGCGCCTGGCACACAACAGATATGCAATCGGTGATGCATGGATGAACGCATGATAAAGGAATGACAATGAGAACAGAATGAATGATAGGATAGAGAAGAGGATATACAAAAGGCAAGGTAAATGAATGAATGGAGCTAATGAAGAACAAAAAAGGAGAGAGAACTAAATAATGTCTGACATGAAGGTATAAGGAAAAAGGAATGCTTTTTCTTTCTATTTTCAATCTTTAATAACCCACTTCAATTAGTAAAATAATAACAACATTGATAAGCTGCTGAAGACTTTGACAACAGCTACCACTGCCCAGCCCCCTCTCCCTGCGTCCTCTGCCACAGAAAGAAAACCACAGGGTTATATCCTGACACCCTCATGAAACAGAGCTCTCACTTCCCCGTCCGACTTCTAACCCGGCCTGGCCCAGATCCCAAGTCCCCTCCAGACTGTGAAGTACAGGGGGCCATGCAGGGCAAGACGCTAAGTGCTCCTTCTGCCTCCCTCTCCCTCGCCAGTGCCCCCCACCCCGGCACACCAAATGTCATGTGACGCTAACGCTCAAATTATATGTCAAACCCGGGAGCTTGCCACCCAAGCCCGAGCCGCTAATCTGCTCTAGCTCTTGTGGTTTGGAGCTTTGGGAAAAATTAAAGCACTTTAACACCAAGCTCCCCAAACACTTTAGTTCTTTAAACCATAACCATATTTCGGACGGCTTGTGGGGAAATGGCCAGGAAAGGGGGACACGTGCAACCACTTACTCAGATTTGTTGAGGGCAAGACTGGTCCAATATGCTTCAATGGGAGCGCTCACCACGGCATCAAAAAGGACTTCTTGTATCAATTCTTTATCACCTATTGGGAGGGACAGACTTGAGAAGATGGCTGTGGCTGGGCCCCAAACGGGGGCACGAGAGGTCTCGCCGCGCTCATTTGCAGTGTCTGCAGGCCACTCTCTCCTGTGATGTGTCGCGTTAGGCATTAACCTCCCACCGGCTGAAAATATGGGTCAGTTCTGACAACTGATATGCCCGCAGTACAGGGCCCCCCAGAGCATCTGGATGAAACGATAGTAAACAGAGAGTCTCGGGTGTGTCACACTTCGGTTTTCTGCTTTCTCTTCCCATCTAGGAGTTGATGCCATGGACCGGCATGTCTTAGAAAGTTTGCTCGGTCCACCGCACTTCTGTCCTCTACCTGTGGTTCTTCAGGGCCCTGCTCCCGGTCGTTTGTAAGAAGAGAGAGGGATGTGATAACTAAACACTCCTGGGACTCCTCTATTTTGTGACACCTTCCATCTGGTAGGACTGTTTGTTTTTTCCGATTTAAAGCAGGAAACCTGCCCCTATCCAAAGAGGGAATCTTGCTGGGGCTCTGTGGAAGAGGCTAAGGAGTCAGGGGGATATCATGAGTGCAGCAGAGGCATCCCAGAGCCCTCCAATCACTGTGCAGAGGGGCTAACTGTCACCTACAGCCGGCCAGTCCTCACCCTGATGCTGGCCAACAAGACAATGGCACTTTGCTCTAAAAGCAAAAACTAAAAATAACTCATCACCAAAAAGACAATGGACACAGTGAGATATAGTTACGTCTTGGGATACCATATAGTAATTCAAACAAATGCATCACAGGTAAAAGATCAACATAAGTAAATCTCAACAATGCAACGAGTGAAACACAAGTTATAGAACAATACATATGTTATATCGTAGATAATATAATATACCATATATAAATTTTAATATACAGAATAATGAAAATAATGGCACATACTATTCATGGATACCTATATATACGTATATACATATATATGCACACATATATACATCTGTATATGTTACTATATATAGTAATAGTATAATATAATAATGTAATAATAATATAGATAATATGATAGTATAATTGCCTAGGAGTGACAAATACAGGAGGGTAGCTTTTTCTGGGAGAGAAACGGGACCACACAGGGGACTCAGCAGCTTCAATATTATCTGTAATGTTTCATTCCTTAGAAAGCACCTGAAGGAAATAGGGCAAAATATTAAGATTTGATTAAGCTGGATGGTAGATGTAAATTTTAAAACATATCTCTATCCCTTTGTTTTTTAAATATGTCCTTCAGAAAGTCAAAGAAAATGAAACAAGATAGGCTTATATGATGTCCATCTGATCTTTTCTCTACTAGAGCATGTCCCCAAAAGTAAATCCATTCCATGAGGATGCACTTTAGAAGCTAGATAAACATCCTTCCAGCTCTCACAGGGCTGCTGTGGTTAGTCTAGGAAATAATATAGGTAAAGAACCGTTCACATCAATGAACAAGTGCTATCTGTCGGGGGTAGGGGCAGGTGCTGTGCTCACTGCTGGCAAATCTCTCCTCGCCCAAACTAGTCACTGTAACTAACTTAGACCCCTGTCCAGGGGCTGCTCTTGTACTTGGTGAGCATCAGGTCTGCTGCTCTCTCCCTGCCCCCTCTGCACTGGCCACGGGCCATTTCTGACTCACTGAGCTCCCTCAGAGGCCCCGTGGTAAGAGGAGGGGCAACAGCACATATACCTCATGAGGCAACGTGTCGGTGATGATTCCACTCTGGAGGGAAGCAGACCTCAAGTAGGCCCTGAGATGCCACCAGTTCTGTTTCCTGCCCTTGTTTCTCATGTAAAATAAGGGAACAGATATTCACAGTCCCCTCCTAGTGGTAGTTTCCATCTTACTCAGGTGCTTGACTTAAATGGTCCGGTAGGGGGGCAAATCCAGTGCAAAAGGCTAGAATGAGACTGGGGTTTCTGCATGGTTTCCAGTGGCCCACATTCTTCCTCCTGCTCCTCTAGGAAGCAAACATTTGACTGATCATCTCTACTGGAGCAAAGCTTCCCTTGAAAGCTGAGGGGAAGTACGGTTTTCGGTTCATTGTGTACTCTGGTGACACGCACACATAGCACACTCACATTGGAGCAGAGGTTCTTTGCCTTTGAGGTAGAGCTTGATGGCTTCTAGCTGAGATAGATGACGGTGCTCCGGGTGTAGGTCAGTGTTGCAGTAGGACCTAAGAACATGACATGGGCCAAAACAGGAACGCGTGAGTATTTGTGGCATCACCTTCCTTTGCCTTTGAACCAGGAGAGGTAGGGAGGGAGTATAGAGGATTTGAAATCAAAGATGGCAACAAATACCCATGCTGATGAAGGATGGTTTAATTCTTACCATTCATCTGCCAGGGATACGTCAGGGTGCTCTAAGTCATGCAGGCCTGGAGATCAAGGAGAAGGAGTTAATGAGTAAGGATCACCTGCGTGGGGCACGGACACCCCTCAGCTTTCATGTGCTCTAAATGCTTGAGGACAGGGCCATTGAGTTGTGATGGGTAGGCACCAATGCCAAAGATATCTGCCCATGAAAAGGGACACTGGACAAAGGAAACCAGGCAGAACTCTCTCCCCACTTCCATCTCCCTAGGCCACCACTGCCGCCTTCCCAGGCTGAGTGCCCCAGGAAAGCCTGAACTCCATGAAGATAAATGACACACCAGTGAGTTCCAGGGGACAGGTTTAGTATGACGGTGGAAACACTGGCAATGGAGCCCTGCACGGCCTGAGCAGGGAGCTGGGCTGGACCACTTAACTCGTGCGTGACATTAGCAGGTTACTTTACTTTTCCAAATGACGGTTTCTTCCTGTGCAAACCAGGAATAATAATAGTCTCTAACTGATGGTTGGTTGTGAGGGTGAGATGATAGGTTGAATGATATGCAGTTGTCAATAGTCAACTGTTTTTTTTTATTTTTTTAATGTTTATTTTTGAGAGAGAGAGAGAGAGAGACAGAATGAGCGGGGGAGGGGCAGAGAGAGAGGGAGACACAGAATCCAGAGCAGGCTCCAGGCTCTGAGCTGTTAGCACAGAGCCTGATGCAAGGCTCGAACTCACAAACCACGAGATCATGACCTGAATCATCGTACGTTCAACCGACTGAGCCACCCGGGTGCCCCAATACTCAACTGTTTTTGACCAGCAAAAGTTGCCAGTTGTTACAGGATCCTAAGTAAAAATGTGCCATCAGTCCAGAAAGGTAGCTGGGACAACCAGGGCTTGCAGGGAATTGGGGAGTTTTTACAGAATGCTCCAGATCACTCTAGGTCTGTGAAATAACTCTTTCATTGTATCTTCATGTGAGTTCATTTTGAAGGCTCATCAGCAGACACACACTTGTGAGTGATGACCTCAGGAACTCAGATGATGCTTATAGTCTGTTTGAGGATGTCAGAGTTTCCCAAATGGCCAGCAGTATCTTACTGCACTCAGGATTCCAGCTTCTTCCTCAAATACAAATGTAGAACGTAAATAGCCAAACACTAGATCTAACTATTGCCCACCCTGCTTGATTTTACAGGAAGTAGGGAATACATTGGACAGAATATCATCAGACAGAACTAAAGTGTCATTTCCTGGCTCCAACACCAACTGGTTGAATGATCTTGGGGATGTCACTTCAACTCTTTGAGTTCTATTAGTCAGAAGATGTATATGACAGAATCTACCTCAGACTCCAGGAGAGGGTTAAGTGGGGCAGGGATGAGTCCCTAGGACAATCCATGCAGCCATGCATGCATCTATCCATCCTGTCTTCCCTTTCTCCCTCCCCTGCTCCCTTCCCTCCTTCTTTCCATATATGTACTGAGCATCAACTCTGTGCCAGATACTATTCTAGGCCCTGAGACTATAGCAGTGAACAAAACAAAATCACTGCCCTCACAGTATTTGTTTTCTAGTGGTGGAAAGAGAATAAAATTAAAAGACATAACATATCAGTTAGTGATAAGGGCTATGAAAGAGACTGGAATAGGATAGGCAGCACCAAGAGATGAGAAGTAAAAAAGAAAGACTTCCAATTTTGAGTAGGATAGGCAGGGAAGGCTTCACTGAGAAAGTGACTTTTAAGCCAAGACCTGAAGGAGGTGAGGGACCGAGCCTGTAGCTAATGGAGCGTGTGCTCTGGCAGAAGGAATAACCAGTACAACAGCCCTGGGATGGGCTCTCACCTTCCTGGAATATTGGGTTAATGATGTCAGTTCTATTTTTATAGTTTCTGTTCTCATCAACCTTCATCCACAAAGCCCACTCTGCCTCTATTTCACAGGACCTATAGATAAGTCTCTATAGGTCATAGGACCTATAGATAAGTCTCTGATGGGAAGATTGTTCTGATTGTTTCCTCTATGAGTTCCCAGGCCACCAAGGAAATTGAATTGTTCTCTAAGTTGCTCATCTCTGATTTGGGTCCTTCTGACACAACCACATCTACTGGTGACTGATAACATGGACAATAATGACATAAGCTCTAATTTATTGAACAACTACTATGTTCTCTTTCTCTGTGTATGTATATAATGGCATATATGTATATATATGCATGCCAAGGAGATTCAGAAGAGAAACAATTTCAGCAAGTGGAACTATAACCCATACCTTCAGCCTCAGTAGCAACTCCTTACATTTTGAACAATGTCTACCTGTTGACCACCTTTGTAACATATGACAATGGGAAATTCCCAATGTTGAAAATTCCCACATTCTGTGGGGCAGCATTCCTTATGGAAGATCCCACAGAAGTGTGGTTGCCATCCCCAAGAAACTCCTACCTTCTCCAAGAACAGAACAGAACAATAATTGTGCCATGGCCCTTATGATCAGGACCCTCTACTACTTGGCCCAAGTGGAAGTAGCTTTCTCAGGCTCGGGTACTCCAAGTTGGCAGGATTGCAAGCCCTCTTATTTATAGAGAACCAACAGAGAAAGCAAAATCTGACCTCATTTGTGTGGATAACCAGATAGTCTCCCCCTTGCTTGGGTTCAAACTAATTTCTTGCATGGTGATTATAGTTAGCTCTGAAATTCTATGACCTCTCAGCCTCACAGCTGTGGAACATACAGGGAGAGGTGATGGCTAAAGAAATGACCCAAAAGACAATGCAAAACAACTGTGTGTGTGTGTGTGTGTGTGTGTGTGTGTGTGTGTGTGTGTGTGTGAGAGAGAGAGAGAGAGAGAGAGACAGAGGGAGACAGAGAGAGACAGAGAGAGAGAGACAGAAAGACAGAGAGACAGAGAAAGAGGTAAGCCCATGTACTGAGGATTGGCTAAGGAAATGGACACATGAGATGCAAATAACCCATTAATAATCTCTCTCTCTATTGTTCTGACCATGAGCTGTTCCCTCAGCTTCACCTCAGATAGTTTAGACATGTATTTTCTGGCTTCATGGACAGTGATATCCACAGAGCCACACATGGCTCATACAACCAGAAAATTCTAGAAGTTAAAAAAAAGCAATTTCTGAGAACACATCCTTTTAAGTATCTCGCTCAAGTAACAAAGTTGCCTGCTCTGTCTTATGTGTCTCTGGGAAAAGAGGCCATATGATTGATTAGCTCTGAAATGGGCACAACGAAAGCTTTCGATCTTCTTTCTAGTCCTTAAGATCTCACAATGACTTGTGAGACAAAGACTCACACCTGTAAAACAATGCACGCTAGTTGTCAGTAGACCAGAGGCTGGCTATGGAACTTGGCATCTCGGGACCACCAATCTCTTCACTCTCCAGTACATCATTGGAGAGAGCCCCAAAGTGGTCCAGCTTCTGGAAGTTCACCACATGCACTTGTAAGCAGCTCGAACCAATTAGAACTGGCTTGTAATCAACCTTCCTGCTCTTCGCCATACTTTCTGGGGACACCCAGAAAGAGCACTGGTCTGGTCCTGCTCCTTCTCTGTGGAGATGCAAAATCTAACACCCAGATTGGGTGAGTGACTTACTCAGGGCCACTTGGGGAGTGGAGACTTTCAGAGCTCAGCCTCACCCCTCCCTGTGAACTGGTGATACTGGGGAAGGCAACTTCTCTGAGCCACCGGGTTGTTGTAAAGGGCAGTATGGGTGTGGCAGTGGTTTAAAAGTTTCAAGGGCTGTAACAACCGCTACTGTTCGTTGGGAGTTTGAGTACGCCTATGCTTTATGAAGACAAGAGGACCTGGGAATCTCAAGGTGCTCCTTATTCTTTCTGACCTAGCTATATCATTTAAATGATCATATTTTCCCCCTTGGACCTGGGCTGCCTTGAAGCACAAATGAAATTTGTGGCTCAACTGTAGAAGACTAAGGCTTGCATACCGTTGTTTTCATTTTATTCCTCCTGGGCTTGAATTTTTACACTACTTTGTATTTTTCTTGGTCGTGATTTTTTTTGCATGAGAAGAAGATAGTTGGTGGATGATCCTATGAGTTGGCTCAACAGGTTTGTGGATTAAAGCAGAATATAAACAAATGAAACCATAAAGAAAGCCACCCCTAGTGGGGGGATTCCCACCGTTGAGAAAGCAAGCTCACATCAAGTGAGCAATCCGTTGAGTCAAATGCCCAGGGATTGGAGAGAGGGTTGAACAGATGAGCAAGATCTTTCGTGAACCCAATGGCTGGGTCTGGGGCCTTTCCCCCATCCTAAAAGATAAAACGGGTCAAAGCATCATCTTACCTTCTTCAATGGTTACATTCCCTCGGAAGAAATATTTCCCATGGCCTCTGGAGAGCGCCACACCTAAGCTGTGCAGAGAAACAAAGCAGACCTTGAAATCCATGGCATTGACTGGAATAGACTTGTGGGTTAACTTTTTATTTTCCATTTTCACATTTCCACTTCATGTTCTGTAAACAATTTTTCCAACAGTTTACTTTCAAAACCCCACTGATTATAGTTGGTGTTCGTTTTTCTTAGGTTCAATCAGCCGCTTCAAAGCAATTTCTGATTGGAAGTGCCAGCAGCCATTGGCTGCTCTTGCGCATCTTGAAAGAGGCGTGGCAAACTGCTGGCCCTTCTTTCGGATGCCCTCGCGAGAGCCATGCGCCCTGGTCCTCACCACTACCTTACATACTCCTGCCCTACATTCAGCCACAGATGGGTCTTTCCAGACCCTAGAGCTTAGGACTAGGGAACCTTCCAAGGGTGAACATAAAAATTTCCACTACCACTAGCATGTAGCCACATTATTGCATTGTGGGCATCTGTGCCCAACCCTCTCCCTGGTCTAGTAGATTTTTCCCACTCTCACGAGCTTGATTTAAGCTCCTTTCTAAAGTAAGAGAATCTATTTTGAAAACACAGTCTCTTCATTTGGCAAACCCACTTAGCGGTCCCGTGTTCCCTCGATTGCTCTGCTTCCAACTGCAATTAAACTCGGGATCCCTGGCAGTCTATGACAGCGATGCCAACATTTATTTTTCAGGTTAATCTATAGTCAGTAAATTCTTTCTCTCCTTAGCTCTGTGAGGCACCAGCTCAGGAATGTGAAGCAGCCCCACTGAAATAACTTCCTACAAAACTGTTACAGCAGTAAGGTCACAGGAGCAGGAGACTATAGAATGCCACATGCATGTCTGAGAGCAGGCAATGGGGCAAAGCCATTTTTCAGGACTGTTACAGAGAAATAACAGGATTCAAAGGTAGACAAGCACAGAAGTACACTTCAGAGAAATTAAAATGGAAGCACAACACGTAAGGATGGATATGCTATTTCCTAGTTTGAAGGCCTGTTTTTTGATCATGGAAATAAAAGATGAAATGGAACTCACTGGGCAGCAAGTTAGATAGATGGTTAAGGAACCTGGTAACCCTCTGAACTGGTCTCTCCACCCTTAGTTGGAACCCCCAAAGCTTATTTGCTCGATAATGAGATGCAAAGCCATGACAAATTGAGTGAGTCTTCCTAGGTGAGCCTGAACCATCTTCCCCCTTCTGGAAAACAGAAACAAAAGCAGCCTGGGAAAAGCCCCTTCCTCACTCTTTCCAGCCTTTCGGCAGGGTGTTTGGTTATCTTCAGATGACGAGCTCTGAGAGCGTCAGCAGGTTTTGTACAAACACAAGTGATGGATCTGATGGAATGTCCATGTATTATGGTCAGCTCTACCTGAAAGGGGTACCCTTGATGTCTGTATAATAGTAGTCATTTGTCATCACCAAAACCCGTTTCTAGATTGAAAAAAAAAAGTCGTAGAGAGAAGAAAACATGGTTAGTCTGCTAGGTGACGTTTTCAGAAATAAATAAAAATAAATGGACACGCTATGATCACGTTAACAGTACTACATGAATCTTGTTTGAGATAAGTAAAGACAAGAGAAAAATGATCTCAGCGAAAGATATTTATTCCAGATAGAGCTTTCAAAGCTAATTTTTCACAGTGGTTTGTTTTAAAGTAAAACGGCTAGAATGTTTGAGAAAAATGTACCCCTTTGTCCACTGTCTTCTTCACCTCCATAGAGAACTTCCCAGTCTTTCGGTTCACCATGGCGTTTCTTAACTGAAACGACAGAAGGAAGCTGGTATTAGTCCTTTCCTAGGTTGCATGCCCTCTGGGCAGCTTGCGTCCTGCAGCTAGGGAGCACATTCGGTGGTGCATGCCAAGCACCCGCGCTCTAGAACAAGCCTTCTCCAGAGTACACATCCAGCAGCCGCTATACCAGGGGAGAGAGGCTAACAGCGACAAATGACTTTCGACTTCAGTCTGGGGTGCTCGTGTAAACCTCAGGGCAGCCCAATGAAAAAGCCTGGGCTATGTGGACGACACCTGAGAGTCAGAGAACGACGCCCCAACGACCGCGAAAACACTCATGAGGGCAAGAATGTCTCTGGGGACAAGTTGCGTTTTCAAAAAGGGTACTAGTTTGTCATGAAGAAATCGTTTTTCAAAACATAATCAAGTTAAAGATATTTTCCTACATGGTATTTTTTTAGCCAACCATTTGGAAGACAGGGATTCGCTTTCTATGGCACGAAGCATCTTCAAATGCTCTTGGAGAAATCTGAGCCAGTTAATGGTCTCGCTTACGTGCTCGTTCACGGGCAGTGACAGGGCAACCCGGTATCTGAGTTCTGGAGGTCCCATCTAGGGACAGTGAGCCTCATGCTCTCCTCCCGCCCCTGGCTGACCTCTTCTAATTATGTGTGGCCCTTCTGTGGGTTCACAGAAGGACAGCAGATGCAGTGATGAAAGACATGGGCACCAATGGGAGACGAAGGGTATGCCATTTAATGGAACAGGAGCAGATGCTAACATGCCACAGCCTGTCAGGAGAGACTCTTTCCTGGCCTTGTGCTTGGTTTTGTTTTTGTTTTTGTTTTTTTTAATTCTCTCCCCTCTTCTCTCCTCTGAGGAGCTTGACTAAGATCTGGCCGATAGAAAACTGTAATGTTTGCAAGCAACCTAAATTTGATTCGGGGCTGTCTAGATTTGAGTTCACATTCCCGTCTTCTGTGAGAGAGAGTCAAAAGCATAATTTTTAGCTGGAGGCATGTATAAAATAAAACATATATTTTACTCTAGATATTTTTTAACAACACATAATGGGCATTTCTGGAAATATTTTCCCATTTTAACTTTTGTGGTTTTGGATGGGGAGAGCTGGTCCTAATTAAGTCTACTTTCTAACTTTTAAGAACGGCTCGATTTATCTTTAACATGGTTTTCATTTTTCCTCTTTCTGGTGCCTGCCTAAAGCCATTTGGGACCCCCCCCCTCACATTCCCCA